TGACATCTACTGATGATGCCATCTTGTTCTTCTCCTCAAACACCTTGAGCAGAGGTTCAGGAGTAGGCGGTGAGGCTGATCCAGAGGACACATATTCGCCTTGGTTTGGTGGGGGTGCGGACGGACCCCCCTGGTTGACCTTTCGGATCACCTCATTGATTGAGTCATCCATAGTCCAGTTTCCTAGGCCTGCATGTGCATGTAGGTGAAGTGGTGTCGATGTATCTTTTACAGAGTTGCCGGGCCCAATCAGGACTTTAGGCGTAGACGGCTCCATGATGGTCAGCCTCCTGGGGCTGGAGAATCCATTGCTATCTGAATCAGAGCCCGAGGAGAAAGCAAAAGGATCAGGCTCCCGCTCAGCACATGCTCTAGCAATCACAGCATCAATGGAGTCATCAATGGCTGTATTATCAGGCTCTAGTTTCTTGAAGGGGCCCTCAGATAACTCCCTGTCCTCTATATTCAGACGCATATGGATGTTTTCTTTGCCCATCCTCTCACTCAGTGCAGACAGCGGTAGCTTATGCACACCTTCTGTCTTGCTCTGGGGTTGGGATGCTTTAGCTGAAACCATCTTTGGGCTCTTGGGGCTTTTAGGACTCTTCGTCCTCCCTGGGGATTTCTTTCTTTCCTTAGACGGTTTTGGAGAATGGATGGGACTACCACCCACCGGAACAGGAATGACCCCTTTAGGGGACTTAGTCCGTTGTCTGCCAGGGGATGAAACCTTAGGCTTTCTTCCTGGAGTGGTGAGGCCCTTTTGATCAGAGTGTTTTGGTACTACTGGCTGAGGTCTGAAGGGAGCCAGGGCTCCAGAAGGTGTTTCAGGTGACATGGGGTCAAGGCTATCATGAGAAGGCAGCATGCCTGGAGGAACACGTTGAGGGTTAAGAGAGGTAAGGGGCTCCCTGGGCTCAACCCCCCCATTCTGGGCTGAGGCCAGGGTACATGCGTGGTCTCTTGGAGGTAGGCATCATGCCCATAGCTGCATCAGGACTGTCCAGGTGCCTCTTCAGCGGGTGGTTCTCATCGTTGACCGTCTCGTCATCGTCCATGTCCTCCTCATCCTCTTCCAGTGGCACCTGCATAGCTTCAGCTGAGGTGCCCATGTCAGGAAGGACTTCCTCCTCCTCCTCTTCTAGAGAGGAAAGAGACATAAAATGAGTTGAGTTTCAATTCATCTCTAAAGATTCCCACAACAACACTGGTTTTAAAACATATACATGGTTATTATAATGGCCCAAAGATATAGTTTTATACTCAGTTGCCAGTTTATTAGGTAAGCCTAAGTTAAAACTAGAACCGCAGTCTAATACAATCCTACCTTCATGAAGGATAAAATTTTAACGAGATATGTTGACTCAACTTTATGATAATTTTGTAGGATGTAGTTTGTAGGGGCTATAACGGTTATGAAACTGAGATGGAAACCGCGACACTGAAGTCCACAGTGTCGTGTCGGGGATCCGAGAGACAGAACCGCGACACTCCCGCTCCATCAGCAGTACATTTCATAAAGTCACCGTATTTACTAAATTGCCGCGTGACTTTGTTTTCATCTGCGCCGCATGTATATGGAAACCGAAAGTAAAATGTCCACTTAATATAATATCAAATTAACATCTCTTTCTCTGTGTTTCCCTGCAAAATGCTAAAATGGTCGGCAAATATACTTTGGCAGGTGCTAATATACCTGGCCTGCCCGTTCAAGTAAAGTATATGTCGAAATCACTGTAGTAAAGTTAGTGCAAGCTGTAGGCCAATATTTTGTAAATATTACACTTCTACCAATTTTATTTTCCTCCAACTGCGTCTCGTGAATATTTTGGTCCAGTCATGATTGAGTGATCTTGGAATATAATAATAATGCCCACCCACCCACCGGAAAAAAACGGGGGGGGGGTGGGGGGGGATTGGGTGTAGTAGTTTGTGGTGCTACTGAGCTGTTCTGTGTTAATCTGAGAGGTGTTTCTAATGTGTAGTCCATCCTCAGTGATATAAATGTAGATGATAAAATACTGGAAAAAACAAACCAACAAAAAGCAATAAATTATAAGCATCATAGCAACACAGTATAAATTGCAGGGCTGTTTTGGGCTGCATTAGTTATAGCTAGATAAACCCAAATACTGGCAAGTGAGTGCATATTTGTATTATGTATATTCAACTGTGGATTAGTTGAGACATTTAAACTATAGAATATCGACCTCTGGGAAACACTGGCTAAACACGCACACAGATGTTCATATAGCAATTGTATGCACTGACCTTCTTGTAAGGAGACCAGGGGTGGCATGTAGTCTGGAATGTAATCCTTCCTTTCCTCTGCATCTCGAGCTCCAGGCTGGGGAAACTGCAGAACATTGTTTTTGCTAACAGGAAAGAGTGGCGTTTGATGGGTGAAGGCCACAGGCTCCAGGTTGTGGACATAGTCCTCCAGTTCACTCAGACTCACTCCAAGCAGCCTGAAGGCCTGGCTGACATCATCCAGGACTGGATCTGTTCTTCCATCTAAATTGCAGCATCAAAACAAGCCATTAAACCTCAGCACATACTTTGACTGCCTCTTGTTCACTAAAGTATACTGTCAGCGTTGATTACAGGTCAGCAGTTTGACTACATACTAATGCTTGTGCTGCACATACAAGGAGGTGCTCTGACTGATGCTGCATCAACACTCAGCCTAAAGTCAACAGGTTTCAGATTGATAGACTGATCTTTTTATAGTGCTTAGGTGCTAATGCATGTGACATATACTATGTACAATGTGTTGACCAGACGCTGGAAAGCATCACAGACACAATTATAACAATACAGGGACGCTGCTTAGCTCTGTAACTGACGTTACTGTACTTTTTGACACATCAACCTTTTCTAGGGGGCGCCAGCTACAGAGGTAGTCAACAACAACGTGATCGACTACTTCAGGTTTATGGGCTAAAAAAGTAATCGGGGTAGCACACGAAGCACTTACAGAGCTCAGAGTACCGATGGCAGGCCCTGGCCAACTGCTGGATATATCGATGCAGCACATCGGACAGCAGATCGCACGCAGTGAGCTGAACCGCATCCCAGCCCAGAGCCTGGCAGATCTGCGCCACCGAAACACGCAGCAGCGAGCGGGCATAGCTCTCGCACATCTCGCTGACTTTGTTACGGTATTAAACCCGGTCAGTTCCTATTCCAAAACATGCTCCCGGTCTTCATGTTTCACGGAACCCCAGAGGGGCTTGAGAAATCCCGCTACCGCGGTTAATTTTGGACATCTACTTCAGTAAATATGTTGGCGCTTTCGCCAGAGTCGCCATCTTGTTTCCATCGATAGACCCATCCCCGAAGTCTAGATCTCGCATGCGCACAAGTCTCTGCGCTCGGCTGTGCTCGAGGGGTTCATCAACGGCTGACGATGCGCAGGAGCTCAAAGTAACGTTAGTATTTAAAATGTAGCCACTAAGTTACTGTATGTACGATTTTGTTGGATCGGTATAGTGTTCAGACATTGTATTCATAGCTGAAAAGGACGGCATTTAAAGGGTTTATCAGCGATTTGCGCGGGAAAAGTATTAACGTACAAAACACATCGACGACTTTCGGTTTTAGCGTTTCATTGCTATGTCACACAAGTCGGAGAAAACAGTCGACGATCTCTGAGTCTGTCACCGCAAAACTTTATTGATTGAACAAGTTGAAACAGTTTAGTTCAGCTTCTGTTCAAGGATGAAAGTAGTGCAGAGTGTTAGGACAAAAATACTACCCATTTATAGTTAAACGTTTTGATTAAAAACGACAAGCGATTGGGTCAAATTTAATTTCCTGTTGTTGGTGTTTTAGAATACCAAGCAGGCAGTGACTTGGACACATTCTTGCATTTCTAAAAGCGTAAAATCTTTGGCCTGATAAATGATTAATCAATTGATCTAATTTATTGTCTCACTCATAATCATTAATAATTTCACGGAAGGTAAAGTAATCTGCCTATAGTGGGTGGTTGCGGATACAAATCCAGCCAACCTTAATTGCCCCAAAGTCTCAACTTTCTTAGAGCTGGACACACATTTATTTAGAATATCTCCAAGTCTTTATGGTCCATTTAATTTGATCCACTGAATGCTTTATTATGGTATTGCTGATTTATTAAGAATCGTTCTGAACACTTTGCTCCTTCACATTTTGTCTTCTGTGCTGCTGCTGTCATGTCCAGACACAGTGCTGATGAAGAGATCTTTATTCTCAGTGAGGCCCTCTCCTGGTTAAATAAAGTTCTTTCGTCATACTTTTATGTGTCACTTTACCAACACACTGTTATTATTTGACTGTGCATACATTTACATCCTGGCTATTTACTTAGAATACTACATCTCACACCAGTCAGATTTCACTTGTTTTCATTCATTCACTGTCAATTTTAATTTTAGCGGAGTTGCAAGGCTGAAAGGAAACAAGATTAAAATAAATTATGGTAGGAGATCCATAACATAATAAATACCTCTACATGCACATAGAGAACAGTTTAACTTGATTTTCCTTGCCAAAACCAAGTTTACATTCAAGCCTACATTCATTTTTTAGTTGTGTAAAGACTTATTTGAGAAGATTCCTTTTACAGCAAGATGGGGTGCACGTCATCCTTCCATTGTAAACAATGTTGTAGGTCTTTTTGCTGTAAGGGTGGTAAGTGTGAACACATTGTAGTGTAAGTTGTCAGGAAGAGCAGATGTTTCAACCAGTATGACGATTGTTAATATAGAAAACTATGAAAAAATTTATTTTCAGTCATTGCACTGAACATTGTGAATGCAATGATAACTTAACATGTTTAGAACTTAGTGATGATGTTAACTTGTTGCTCAAACAATTTAACACTCAGAGTTAAGAATCACTGTCTAACATAACAGTGTACAGTAGTATACATAAATGTCAAAAACACACCACTTTGAACAGCCTAATTTAGCTTTGTTGCAAGGCTTGGAAAAAGTATATTATTTTTATCTAAAAAGAGACCAAAACTTTGAACACAAAAAGTAATAATTAAACAAACACTACTAATGCTTGTGCTACAACTGTATAAAGTCAGGATTGTCAGGGAAAAGACAAAATATACAAAATGTGACAAAAAATGATCTTTATGTTTACAATTTACAATACAAATACAGTATATACAATTCACCTGCCAGTATATTGGAATTTTTGTCCCTATATTCATTAACTGAATAAAAAAGAAAAATATTAAGATTACTGCATACAAAAGAGCTGAACCTAAAAATAATATATAGTATGTTTGAAATCACCATTACTGGTTAATTACTGGTTTCTCCGCGTATTCAGTGAGTTTCTGACTGCTGGGTACCTTAAATAAGCACAAATGAATTTTGTCCATCTTAATATTTCCAGGTTAGACTGTAAATGTTTTGCTTGGAGAACATGTCAGGAAAGAGTTTGCAGTCATTGTTAAAATTCCATTCTTTCCAAATGTGCTGTCTGTTGTTGTATCTGTAAGAATAAGAAAAACATGTCATTCCTTGCACTCTACATGAACTAAAACGGTTACATGTTAAGCCACATTTGCATTTACACATTTAGCTGACGCTCCAAAGAGACTTGAATCTATATGTTAAATGTTAAGTGTCTTCCTCAGGGAAACATTGGTGTATGTGTCACAGTGGGAATCTTATCCAGATCTCCCACACCAAAGGCATGTGACTTTTGGGGATTTAAAAAAAAGTCCAATTAAGTCCAATTAAGCAATGAAAGCAGTCAGGCTTAATTATATATTAAATCATGAAAACAACATCTTCAAGAAAAACCACAGTGTCATGTGACTCATTGAATGTAAAGTACAATTAATGTATTTGTGCAGTAGTTTCTCACCTGTAATAAAAACAGGGTAACGGGCTGATATATTCTGGACCTGCAAATGGACCAAACATGTGAGATAGTCAGGCTGATCTCTTGACGTGAGGTCACACTCATGGTAAGGCAGCACCTCCACTATTCCAGCTTCTTGGCACCAGTTTAGGAAGTGCTTCTTCTCTTTTGCCTCTGCACTCAACCTGGATGTGGGAGAGCAAACATAATGTTCAGATAGACAAGATTTTAACAGAAAGGTTTATATAAAGTGCCATCAGCATCAGTTTTTAATAAAATGATAGCAAACTGTGAAAATCTGGGAAATAGATCGAGAGGATACATGGAGATAGGGCCTGATGGTAGGAGGTCTGTTAGATATGCAGTGGGCAAATTTACACACTACAAAATTATACACATATTATACACCAGTATACTTAATAAAAATAGCCTCATAGATAAATGAAGCAGCTACTTCATTTGATGAGGGAATGTTCTTTTGTCTCTCCTTTCTGGAAACAAGTAATTAAAAGTCTTGGAGGGTGGTTGTATAAACCATTGCCAAAATCTCTCCAGCTGTGCTTGTTAGAAGAGAGGTCTCTCCTACCAAGAAGTGTACCCAAACAAGAATTTGGACTTGCACTGGCAGGCTTTAGTGGCACTTCCAAGGATCGTTCTCTGCAATTGGATGTCAGACAAAGCCTGACTTTTCTGGTTAAACTACCTGGTGACATATATTATGAATCTATCAATCTCTACAAGGACTAATAATTACTAAAGAAGTTTTATGAAGTTTGGTCAATTTTGTAATATGTTGTATATAAAGAAATAAACATAACATAGTAAATATTCCTAATTTATTTTGAAATGTAATTTTTGCCAATAATTAAAATGTGCCATCTCATTTACTTTACTCATTGCCACTTTTTCTTTGTTTTTGTTTTGTCTTATTGTACTTCTGTTCTTTTGTGATCTTCTATGTATAGATGTGTTTTGTTGGGCTTGTTCTATTACCTGTTCTTTATTGATTTTTTGTTGTTGTGCGTGTGTGTATGTGATTTAGCTTTTGGAAAAGCTAGCAAATCAAAACTTACATAAAAGACCAGCTATTAGAATACCTGTAACCTGCTATTGAGGGAAGTGAGCAACAAGAGCTTTTCTGTAGTTATTTTTCAACATTGATCCTACCTTGCATTCTCTTTCAGCCGACGGCTGTCTCTGTAGTGCAACATCCATTTCCACTTCCCCGTTCTGCTTAGCTCTTGCAAGATTTCTGACAATTTTTTCATGTTGCCTTAAGATTCATACAAAGTAGACATCATGAGTTAAATTGGGATGAATTAAAAGAGAACAACAATAAAGCTGGTACTCAGTTGAAAGTGCACATACAAAGGCTGAGGGACTCCAGTGCTGCTCTGTCGATCATTATAAAACCACCCCTGGTGAAGAGCTCCTGATGGGTAAGATTCACAACATCATCTGGTTCGTCAATTCCAGCAAACTGCACACCTGGCGACTTCTTCAGGTTGAGCAAATGTGGGACCTGACAGAAGGCGGCAGAGTCATTAATTCCTGATTGTTTACTGCAAAAGTCCTGTCTTTATCTTTTTCACCAGCTGATCAATTACCTCACAAATGTGCTCTGCAATGTCTTCATTCCTGAGGATGATGAGTAGCGATGAAGAACTATCCTCACCCAGGAAGAACTCAGATGGCTGTACAGCAGTATGGCCTTCTGCCTCCAACTGTGCCTTTTGAAGACCAAGGAGAGATTATCCAAACTTTAAAAGCCATTTTCCATTAACAGGCTTTAACATTAAAAATTGTCCTTCTCTTAACTTGCTATAGTATATCTGGGGAGTATGTACATGGGTTATTAAAGGACTGTATGATATCACTGAATTCAGCATTCACTTGATTCCTACTTAATGTCTTCTCAGTGACCTCTTAATATCAACCAACAACAACAACAACAAAACATTACTTTAAAAAAGACAAATGATTAAGTTGTAAGCTGATATATGGGAATATATGAGTGTCAGTCATAACCTCTTTTAAACCCCTCTTGGAAATATTTAGTTAATGATACCCCACCAAAAATGTGTTTCTTGGTTATGAAAACACGAAGCCCCATAGGCTTGAAAAAGAGCAGTAAAATGTTTGCAGTTTTCTCTGTTATGTTTTTTTTTTTTTTGTAAATATCAGAAATGCTCATTTTCGTCCCAGTGGTACAGCATAGGATGTTAATGTCTGTGTTTGATTGACAGCACCTGGCAGACTGAGGCAGAGGAATGAGAGACAATGGCTGTATTCAGAACCGCCTACTACATACTTCCAGTGATTGTAGTCTGCAGTACTACATACTGCCAGTTTCTGGTTTTGGAGAGCAGAAGTAAACAATAGAACAAATAAATTACCACTAATAACATTTTTTTCTAATTTAATCTTGTGTTAGGAGAACATATGGAAGATACGTAACTTTATTTTAGCTGAATTTGTCCTACTACACAAAAGGCCATAATGCTTAAGTTAAAGTTAAGTTACTTAGCAAGCTGTCAACAAGAAAACAACACGACATACAGAACTTAAATCTAATGAGTTATATTTTTTATTATCAAAGACAGTACATTCCTCCTTGTGATTTCAACAATGACCGGTTGTTGAGACTACCTGATTAAATAACATTTAAAAAAATACTGGTTGTCGTGACCGTTCTAGCCCTTTGCATTATGGGACACAGTAAGTGAGGTAGACTGATTCAATGCATTTTGGAAATATTTTCCGAATCAGTACAACATCCGGGTATTTTTGGCATACTGAAGATTTTGCTTTTGTTTGCATACTGCACACTACATACTACAAATCAGAACATACTATAGTGTAGTAGGCGGTTTTGAATACAGCCAATGTAAGCAATCTTGGGCTGAAGCTTACCAGCCATTGACAGACAGTGTTTTGTAAGCAGTGGTATTGAAGTGTAAAGACCACACCAGCATCTAAACACCCAAAACTAATATTTGCAAGTACATTTACATGCTTTTTAATGTGCTGCAGCTCAGCAGCTAATTTTCAATCTAGCCTGCAACTAAAGTTAGCAGTGAACTTTTCTCTGGTGAATGTTTGTTTAGTGGCTCGTTCAATAAGCAATAAGTGAAGGACAAACGTGTGTTCATGATTGATTGTAGTTGGATGAGGAGGATATGGTAGCAGCGAAAGAATGCTTTTCAAAAATAGACGTTAATAGATTATATTTGCTAACTCGTGCTAATGATCACCAATTCAATATGTAGGTTGAAACACAATCATTAACTGAATCCCTGGTACACCAATCTGCTGTCCGGAGAAGTCTGATCAGGAGTGGCTTTCATGGAAGAATTGTGGCCAAAAAAGGCCAAAAATATACCTCCAACATCGAGGTAAGGAACTGGGATGCAGAAAAATGGCAGCAGGTGGCCTGTACTATTGAATCAAAATTTGAAATATTTGGCTGTAGCAGAAGGCAGTTTGTTTGCCAAATGTCTGAAGAGCGGTACAAGAATGACTGTCTGCAGGCAACAGTAAAGCCTGGTGAAGATTCCTTGTAGTTTGGGGCTGCATTTCTGCGAACGGAGTTGGGAATTTGGTCAGAATTAATGGACTCCTCAATGCTGAGAAATACAGGCAGATGCCTATACACATTCATCATGCAATGCTATCAGGGAAGCATCTGATTGGCCTTCTCCCTTAACATTCAAACACATTTCATGTGAAGCACATGCAGGAAGTATTGAGATGTATTACCAGTTGCTTTACAAATCAACAACAGTTTACTGCAGCAAATGAACAGAAAAGAAACACTGGGGCTCTGGGGTGAGAAGTGAAAGAATGTAGTGAAAACACTACATTTTGCTGCGTGGTTGGTTTGGCTAGTCACTCAAGTTCAAATTACCACCTTATGTGATGTTTGTTCATTTGCCTTTATCTTCACTAAACATGTGACTGTAAATTCAGATTTCTATCTTATTTTCCTTTCCTGGCCACTGAGTAAGTGTTACATTATCAAAAAATACTTTAGGTGGCATATCACTTTAATTGGTTATGGAATGCAGGCTATAAACAGTATAGTTAATAAATAGTTAATAGAAAATCTGCATTGGAATTTGGTTGAAAACTCGTCTTACCTTGGTTTCCTCAAAGAAGGCATCATCTGACGTCACCAGTATGTAGAATCTGTACTTCGTTTTACAGGATTTCTTCACGACTGAATTCAGATTGCTGCGAAAACTCTCATCCATCTCTCTCTTCATTTGATCACAGAAGTCAAAATGGTTACTTGTGGATGGTTCATTCTTTGAGTAACCTCTATCCATTCTTAAGTGTTTAGGTCTAGGTGGGACCTTTTTGACAGCACAAACATCCTTCATCAATGCTTCGTACTGCCTGGCACATTCTGCAGTCACATCAGAAACTCCAGCATGTTCCATTGGGTTGCCGGTACCTTTAGATAGGTTTTGAGGATGCAAAGCCTTTTCTTCCTCTGTTGTGTCTGTCGGGTATTTCCTGTCAGACATGTCTACCTTAATTTTTTGTCCAACAAGTGACGGTACATCCAAGTGATCCACCAAATCCTCCTGCTCTTCTAGACTGGAAAAGTGAACAGTCACAGGACTGGAGCAAGACAAATTCAATTTATCATGTGCATTCAGTGGGCGGATGGGTCCCATCTTACTCCTTTTCAAAAGCTGTTTCATTTGTTCGGAGAAGATCAGGCACTCCTGTTCCATTGATGCCAGAGTGAGGTCATCTTGTAGGCACCTCTGAGAAAGCTGCTCTATTAAAGAATAAGATCTCATCCAACTGGCGTTATAGACTGTACATGAAAGTGAGCTTTGAGGTCCCAGAAAGAGACTGTCATTTATTATGCTATCATTTTTGTGACTCGCAACTGATGTTGATGGGCCTAAAAAGTCTTCCTGATCCATTTCAATGCTCTCTTTAGTTGTTTGCCCAACTCTCTCAACTAAACTATTTCCAAGAAACCTTGGTTTCCATTAACAAAATTAGAGGAAGTTTTTGCAGATTTGTTTGCAGGAATCTTGTTGAATTTGTTTATGTCCCTCCTTCATGTTGATATAAAGGATCTAGAAGTACTAATTTAGCTTTATCTGAGTTAGACTTACCGTCACTAACATTTGATAACCAACTGCTCTTGGAAGAAAGCTCCCTGGCCTTGTGCTTATCTTTTAGTCCTTCAGAATTTCCCATGAGACTTTCTGAGTCTGAGTTTCCATGAGTCTTTTTCTCCAAGAGAATGGAAGCTGGTGTGGTGTATGAGACTACTGGAGTTTTACGTTGTTTAATCTTAAATACACATGACATAACAGAGTTTTCATTTTCTCTGTCTTTAGAGATGCAATCGGCTTGAATTTCTTCACTCTTAGAAGGTTTTACAGCCATGACAGGACGCTGACTGTATGAATTTGGTTCATTACTTAAATTTGTCTGTGATGTTGTTTTATGCTCATCTTGGTCAATATTTGTTTTAACAGCTTGCAAACATTCAGTAGAGGTAGAGGATCTGTGTCCTACAGAGCTCTCCTCCTGTAATACATCTGTTCTTCCAATATAGCGTTGATGAAGTGATAAGTCCGTTTTCTTTAGCTGCAACCTAACACCAAGTACTTGCTCTAATTTAGAGAAAGGTGATGAAGGAAAGTGACCCGATGATTCTGTGTGCAGTTCTTGTGAGGTAGAAGGTGACACCGCTGCTGGCTTTGTATTGTTTATTTTCTTGTCCTTAAAGTCAGCTGGGGTGTGGCTTGGGGCTAAGAAAGTAGGGATGTGCTTGATGCTGGTGTTAGGGGTTTGATCAAGAGACCGTTTCAAATCAGCTGTTTCAATCTGGCTGGATTTGTCAGTGTGGTTTGATTTGGAGAGGAACTTGTCTATACATTGTAGAACTCTAAGAGTTCTTAGCTCAAGATCAGGGTGAAGACTACGGTGAGGTTTGGGAAGTTTTCGCTCAAGAGGCATCATCATCTCATCCATTATAGGTGTTGAGCTTCTGCTAACACATTTCTCAGTCATGTTTTTGCAGGTGTCAGTACCACTGAAAGCAGAAGTGCTACTACCAGTAGGGCCAGAACAAGTTAAGTACACAAATGGGTTCTCATCTATAGTTGGGGTAGGGCACCGGTCATCAGACTTACTTCCCAAGACCTCTGGCTGGTGAGTTTCAAGTTTTTTGGACAGTGATATTTTGCCAGCAGACAGTTCTGCCTTTTTACTGTACATCTGAGATGTACTATGTACCTCTGTGGGTAGGACAGTTTCACTGATGAATAGTATTTCCTTCTGGCCTTGAACAACTTCTTCAACCTTGCCTTGCGAGTGTGGGTCATGTGGATGTACTGTATCCTCTCCAGAGGCATCTATTCCAATAAATGGAATTACAACCCCACTATGGATCTTTTCCAGAACCTCATTTGTTCTGTTGCTTTTGAGATCAGTTTTTTGAGTTAATGCCACTTCAGCTTCACATCTGTTTATAACCTCACATTGAGGTGAATGAGACTGATGATTAAATAGGTCCTTTTGAGTTGTGTTACCAACCTTTTGCTCTCCCTCAATCGATTTGGAATCCTGATCTTCAAGATCATCACTACTTAGAATTAAGTTTCCCGTTACTTTGTTTTGGCTTCCTGTTTCAACACTGTCATTTGTCTGGGGAATAGACCCAGCTGCAGAAGACAATGAGGTGCTCTCATCAGAAATGGGTGATGCTGCCTTCTGATAATGTGGCTTATGTGCCAAACAAATGTAATTTCCTGAATTTTCCTCAACTGCATGTTCATCATAAATAGGCTCCATTTCTGCTTGAGCGTGATGAGCTTTTTCTGAAATGGCATGTTCATCTGTCAATGCACTGCCATTTGCACAGGGTCTCTCCAAATGATCATCATTGCAGGCATCTTCTTCATTGTCTGCTTGAAGTGTTTGCTCCTCCAATGGTCCTTGGTGATTACACTCTGTGATGCAATCCATCTTTACAGAGTCTGGGCCATCACACATCAAAGGTAATGGTTGACCCAAATTACTTTCACCTTCCATAGCTGAAACGCAACTGTCTTTCAGTCTTCTTTTCCAAAGTCCATCTTCTTTTCCATAATGATAACCTTCAATCACCTTACCTTCATGTGCTGTACAACAATCCACATCTTCAATAATATTTTCAGCCTTGCCTGGTGAGACTGCTTTAGGTTCCTCCCTAGATAACCGCTTCTCATTCTCCAACAGATTTCCATTGCAGACTACACCTGGTTCTTCGTTTGTTGAATCATCACCATTATTAATAATTTTTTCATCTTGGCATGGCTTTTCATTCACTTCCCAGTTTTCCCCATCTTTGGATTCCACTTCATCATGCTCTCCTGTATGAATTACATCACCTGCTTCTTTGTTGGAATCTACCTCTTCATCTGTCATGGATTTAGAAGAACCCCTTCCATGATTTTGCCCTAAACTCATCTCTGTAGCTTCTGAATTTTCAATGCCATCTTTCATAAATTTCTTCTCATTGTTGCATTCATGTAACACGTGGCCAATTCCTGAAGCAGTCTCATGTTTTTTTGGCTGAATGGATTCACTTTCCATCTCTTCCTGTACAGGAATGAATGTTTATCACATTTAAGAGATGGTACCGTGTGCTCCATGTGGCCAGCTTTTTGTGAAGGGGTACAAGTTGCATTATTTTCATAGATCCTTCTGACACCATTCACCTCATTGATAATGTCTGTAGAGGGTACAATCTTTTTGTAACACTGGAAAAAGAAAGAGAAAACAGAATATAAGAATTACATATTATATAAACTGTCTTTCATTCTGTGAAAACCATGACTGCTGTTTCTCTCTGGTAATGTAGTTTTAAACATTTTGCCATGATTCTTCAAGGTCACTATTGATGCACTAGCAATTCAAACAATGAATCCTGGAAATGACAATTACAACAGTAGCTACACGTGTATTATATTACATTGCCTACTATTTAGAAATGTGTGTCAACATCAATAGAAGTATAATCAGGCCAGATAGTTGCTGCCTGACATGCAGGTGTCACATTCGCTGGGTGAGTGCAGCAGGAGTGAGCCCAAACGCAAGACACTTGTGAGCTGAGATGGAGTTCAAGGTTTATTTATCCAACTCACAAAACAGGCAAGACAAAACTCACGGGAACAGGAACTGGTATCATCCAAAAAGCAGGTAACGGGTAGCAACACGACATCAGACAGGACAGACATGCGATATCCGACAGGACAGGACTGACATGAGACAATGACCGAACAGGGAATGAACAGAAACACCATACATTTATACACAGTGACTAATGAGCAGGGCAGGAGCAACACAGGTGACTGGGATCAGGGTTAACGAGGCGGAGAGACAGAAAGGAAAACAGAGACTAGCAGGCAGGCAGATTACTGAGGGGGGAAAAGACAAAACACAAGTTCCTCAACACTAAACATCAGAGTAATATAAACAAGCGGACAGATCACAAATGAACTAACAAGCTAAGGTAAAACAGAACTCAGACATGGGCAAAACACAGAAGTAAACCGACCAGGAGTGAACACTAAGACAAGAACTAAAACACAGGACTAGGAACACAGACATGGAACAAAAACCCAGACTCCGCAACAAGACACACAGACAGGACTGAAACCCAGACACGCTCAGGACAGGATCGTGACAGCAGGTGCATCAGTCATAACTAAACCAGAATTGTAGCAAAAAGAAAACCCACAAAAATCTTCACTACTCATGTCAAACCAGAGAAAGCTGAATTGGGGTAATTTTGGTACCCATATTGGCATTAAATGAGCCTGCTTTTCTGTCTACTCATCCACTTTGTGCCCACCAATCGCACAGAGCCTTAATACAATAAATAGGCATGAAGGCACTCCCTCTCAGTTGGGTAAATCCCTGTAGTACATAAGCAGTCCATCTGGGGAATGTGTACATTACCAGAGTGTGGCACACATATATCACAAGATGACACTACATCGGGCTCTTGGAACTAAGTATACAAACATCAATACTTTTTTCTGGTATATGGTTAATACAGAGCAAAGGAATCAGCATCTTGATATGATAGATTACTGAAGCTCACCCTTACTTCACCTGCAGATAATCAATTCCTGCATTGACAGGAGTATGCATGCCAACATGATTGAAGGCTTTGCATATCCTGTGTCTGGGAGCTGTGTTGTCATGGACAATAGTTCCTGACCTGGTCTCATTTTGAACATACAAAAACTTTGCACATCTATTTAATGAGACAGGTGGTAGGAGAGGCAAGAGTAGTTTAAAAGTTGCAAATAAACTCCAGCAAACTGTCTAACTTGCAA